GGAAAGCTGCAACGTCACGACCGCGCGATGGAACAGGGTCGCGGTCTGTATCTCGTTCCGTACAAATATGGACGCGGACTATATCTCAGCTCCTATAAACGCGGACAGGATGTAGCAGCGAAGAAAAAAAACGCCAAAGAGACGATAAAAATGCCCTCGGGTGCAACTACCAACGTGCAATTGGACGTGCTCACGAGACGTATGCGCGTACCGTACTTTAGAGGTATCTTCATGCGTAACTTTACCGACGAGCGGAGTGCACCGAAACGAAAGCGGTATCGTGAATTTGGACGATGCGACCGAGCCGGGTACTCACTGGATAGCGTACGCCAAGAAGAACAACCGCGTCGTATACTTTGACAATTTCGGTGATCTTCGACCGCCCGAGGAACTGCGATATTTCGAGAACGGTGCTACGATAGAGTACAATCGTACGTCCTATCAGACGTACGATCAGAGCTTCTGTGGTCAAATGTGTCTGCGGTTTCTACAAACGCACGATAGACGCGCGTGAATTTAAAAAGCTCGGCGAGGTGCTGTAAAATCTCAGTATTAGTCGAACGCTTTTTCCATCATGTCGCTGACACTTACGCTGAGCGGGAAGAGCACCGTCCTCGCGGCGAACTACTTTCCATCCATAGATTTGAGTGACGGCGATTACGAGCTCGGTCTGGCGATTTTTGAGACTTATCACACGATAACGAATGTAAACACAATAAATTTTATTTTCGCAAAGACGACGCAGAAATTATAATTCCCGAGGGTTCGTACGAAGTGCGAGACATAAATGAATTTTTGAAACGTACGATTTTACGGAAACGTTCGCACCGCAACGCACTTGGAACCGTTGACGTAGTGCGTGGTGAAAATAACAACAACAATAACAACAACAACAATAATAACAACAACAACAACAACAATGACACTGATGATGATAATGGTGACGGAGAATACCCGACTACGCTCCGCGCAAACTACCACATGATGCGATGCGAGATTAGATGTCGGTGCAGAAAATGTGCATACAGAATAAACTTTGGCAAGCCCAACAGCATTGAATCGCTGCTAGGATTCTCGTCGAAGCATATACTGCGACCGTGAAGATGGCACGAATCGGACATGTCTATCAACATAATGAACGTAAACGTTATCCGCGTAGAGTGACCGCGGACGCGTACAGCAACAGCAAAAGCGCGCACACGATACACAAATTTTCGCCGAGCGTGCAACCAGGATATAAGATATCGGAGCGCAGATCATTTACCTGCCGATCACGGTACGGAGCATTACGGATCTAACGATACGCGTCGTCGACCAGAACGGACGATTGCTCGATTTTCGCGGAGAGGGGATCACCGTCAGATTGCACGTGCGACAGCGACAGCGAGCGTGAGATGCTCGTATTGAACGGAGCGGAGCGCACGCAGAGAGATAATGCAATCTTTACAAGGCTGGTAACATCACCGCTCGATAACGCTCCAACTGCGTCAGCAAGAAGAAGCTCAGTGCGTTAAATTTTTACAATCTTTAGGATTCGTGGTGCGCAACTTTTAAGATGACTGATATCTTAAACATTAAAGACGAGCCGATCTTTGACGATCGCATCATCAAGATTGAGACTCACACGTACAACCCGTTCGCTAATACAACATTCGGGTTCAGCGACGAAATAAGAATACCTACAGCAACAGGATCTGTACACACTGCCATACGAAAGCTTTCTATATGTCGAGGGAAAACTGACGAAGAACAAAGCGGTCCAGGATGCTCATGTGGCATTGGGAAATAACTGTGTCGCTTTCATATTCGATGAGATTCGATATGAACTCAATGGTGTGGTGCAATCTTTACAAGGCTGGTAACATCACCGCTCGATAACGCTCCAACTGCGTCAGCAAGAAGAAGCTCAGTGCGTTAAATTTTTACAATCTTTAGGATTCGTGGTGCGCAACTTTTAAGATGACTGATATCTTAAACATTAAAGACGAGCCGATCTTTGACGATCGCATCATCAAGATTGAGACTCACACGTACAACCCGTTCGCTAATACAACATTCGGGTTCAGCGACGAAATAAGAATACCTACAGCAACAGGATCTGTACACACTGCCATACGAAAGCTTTCTATATGTCGAGGGAAAACTAATGAAGAACAAAGTGGTCCAGGGTGCTCATGTGACATTGGGAAATAATTGCGTTCATATTCAATGAGATTCGATATGAACTCAATGGTGTGGAGATTGATCGTAATAGAAATGTGGGTATAACTAGCACGCTCAAAAACTATGTAACAGTGTCATCCGACAGAAGCGTGATTCTAC